AGGTTAATAATTAAATCACGATGATCAGAATTAGATTCAAGCGCTATAATATTCTTTTGCAAGTGTCGTATCGTATTGACATTATGGCATAAAATGTTTAAAACTAGTCAACGTTAACAAAATAAATATTACCCAACCGGCGCAGTCGAGGAAAACAGTTTTCGATAAGCTCAAATATCTACCGCTTAAGAATTTAATTTAGTATTTTGTGACATATTATTATGGTTAGATAATGTGCGAACCACCATCGCTTGTTTGATTCGAAATAACGCTTAGGCGGAAGTGAACACGATTGTTTAAAAAATAGTAAATTATTCATTTCAATTGTAAATTATTTAGAGATAATCCTTGTTTAATCTCCAACACAATAATGATGCACACCTCCATTTTCATTAAACGACAATGAACATATGTATAAAATATTAAGGTACGTGATATACACTGCAATTATCTTAAGCGCCGGATACCTTATAGGGAAAGTTTGTGTAGATTCTTTAACCAACTAAGCGATTGAGTACTGCGTATTCGTAGTCTTTGCACGACTACAGAACGAACAACAAAGTAATAGAGCGGAGTCGGTGTCGCCGCCCCAGTGCTGCAATTCATGCACCAATGTTTTAGTAAAGGAAGAATAATGAATAAATTGACGTGATGAACTATTTGTAAAATAACTGTTAGAGCGAGACCACACGACCACGGCATTTGCAATGTACTACTACATTTAAAAGTCCGACACAATGGAGTCATATTACATCACGACACGCCCCGTAAGGTGATATAATAAATAGGACGGCGAAGCGAAAACGTCATCAACTTAGCGCTTCTAGTGCCAGATCTAGTAGTTTTTTGTTCACAGCACATTTAAGTGTCTAGCATTAAATCTGACACCGATACCGACAACCAGACGATAATTGCGGTTCACTACGACGCCGCTCCGGCACCATTGCAGCACCACGCCGCAACCCCGACGTATCATGTGGCCATGCTCTTACATAAGTATTGTACCTGTCTGATAAAAATGATAATTAAATATCTTAATATGATCTACAGCCAATATGATTCACAAAAACATTCAACGTGATCAACTGCTAATTAAGTATAAGTCGGTGTTGGACATAATGTCAATTAAGATGGTAGTGCAAGCATCCGTATCGTTAATTTCTGTAAAAAAAACTATTCTAAGAGATTACGTACAACACAAAATAAAGGTCATACTGAGAACATTATTTTTCATCGGTAACATTTTAGACCAGTATGTTAATGACCATACTAATGCATCTCCTTAGTGATGTATTAATATTAAAAACTAGTATCAATGATTATGCTTTAAACAACTCAATTGTATAAAATCCATTATCATGCTAATTGAAATAAGAACTAATAATAGAATTAAAAAGTTATTACTAAGAATTAATGTTTCACTATTCCATAGAATAATCCTTAATTTTCCTATACATTGAGATGTCTTTTAGGTGTATAAAAATAGCATCAATATATTTAATAATATTAATTATTTACCTAATGTTTCTACCCATATACAATTAAAATTTACGTTACTTCGAAACAGTTAAAATAAATTAAAGTGAATAAGCCATACTTTAGAATGCATCATTATTTCGATTTGTTTACCTATATTTTTATACAACGCAACTATTTTTCCATACAGTCATAACATCTTAAGTCAGCTATGTCATAAAAATAGAAGTGAATGGACATTGATAAATATATTTAAATAATAATAAAACTCCATACATCATCTATAATCCTCTTAAATACATTTACAATATAAATTATTTTGTATCACTTAGATTCTGAATGGATTCAGAAATATGCTAGTTGCCTACGTCAAATTTAAAATAGTTTTAATATGCGAGTATATATGACATGTAAACTTATTACTTAAGGCAAGTGGGATAAACATACAGCTAATATTAAAATGTATTTAAAGTTTTAATAAAGTAGATACGGTATTTATTACGGAGAGATCATAATATTATGGCAAACAACAAAGATAACGTTCAGGTTGCACAAATATGCACAGATGTAATGCTATCTCAGAACATGCCACTAGATTTTTTCATCAAAAACAAAACAGTTTATTGTTTAGGTTCAAGGGAAACTTGCTAAACAAAAATGGAATCACAGACATAGATCTAAATAGTTAGCGCATGGATGTATACTCTTACTTGCCGCTGCCGTCAGTGTAATGACGAAAAATTCCGAATTGTGCAAATAGAAACTGCAAAAAAACAGCTGGGAGTAGTCGAGTAAAAGAAGACGTTTCTGTCCACCGTTGTTTTTATGATATGATAAGAAATCAGTATACGCGTAATTTATTTAAGAACGAAATTAAAAATTAAATTAATTAGAGGAAACAATTTCAAACGAGTGTTTATCGTGTTCATAAAACATTGCGACTTTTAAGGCGTGCTTATTAATAAGAATATCTAGTAATAATTTCGCATATCTTTTAAATTTAGCAGTCCTGACTTTAATTATTTCTCTGTCAAATTTAACTACTATTGACCAAAGACGTATTAAAAATATAGACAGGTTACACACTAACATTATTGTATTTTAAAGTGGCGCAGGTAGTACTATATCTACGTACAGTTATTTATTATGACACGTTGCGCTAACAAAGAGACAAATGATACGGCATACCTATCGTTAGAAAAAGATGAATATACATCATTAGTTGCGTATTGATTGCTGCTGAGCGCTCATTGGCGCGAGCGCATGACATACCGATATAGAAAATGAACACACTAGCTAGCGTCAAAGTTTACACTAGCGGTTAGTGTTGAAATAATAAAACCAATTATGAACATAACATCTTATATTCATAATATTAATGAGACGTTTTTCTTGTCTCTAACAGTTGCCGCGTAATTTGTGCACCACCTAAAAACACAGGAAGGCATTTTTTAAACGAATAACTAGAAGATTTACGCACTGTAGCGAAGGTATAGCCGCGACGCGAGAGCGTGCCCGACTGAATGCGAGTCGGGCAATTGCCTGACTTTCGTATTGCCATTTTAGAGCAAGTACGACGTGTCTATACTTTAAAAACATCTTAGCTATTGACGCTCACTCTGTGCAACATGGATGTTCTCGATTCTAATCGATTTTCGAAACACAATGATAATCGAAATGAGGACTTAAGAGGATATTATTAAAATATTCAAAAATGTGTCTTTGTTTTTTTTTTTGCTACATGATCCATATTTAATGTAGAAAAATATCGATATTTGATAGTGGTCAAATACTGGTTAAAATAAAAATAAAACTATTTAGCGCGGAGAGAGGTTTCCAATCACTAAATTGTGATAATTCTGTGAATATAATGTGGCACGCTTGGTTTTCATACAAATCGTGGTCCTTGCGTTACACAGGGTTATTTTGCAATAACCGGCCAAATTTGCAGAGAAGCTTCTGGAAAACGAAATGATCAAAAAGAAAATTAATGGAAAAAAATCACAAACAAACCCTTTTATCTTTTAAATTCAAAATGCGTGGTAATGCATATTTTAACAAATTTTACTGCGCATTTACACAAAATCGTTGTTGCCCATAAATCACATTCAATTTGGGATAATTTCAAATAATAATAGAAATTTATCTTTTAAATTCAAAATGCATGGTAATGCATTATTTTAACTAATTTTACTGCGCACTTACACAAAATCTTTGTTGCCCATAAATCACATTCAATTTGGGATAATTTCAAATAATAATAGAAGCTTTTATATACTCGTTTTTTTATTAACTCGTTTTTTCAAAAACTGCAATAATGTTATATCGTTATTTATATATTTCAACTAACCTTAGAATTTGGCTACTCTTTGAAAAATAACCCTGTATATTTAAATCTATGTCTATGAATGAACTCGCCCGCTTAAAAATTACAGAGTTACCTCAAAAAGAGAATTACTATTAGACTACATGAAACAAATAAGATTGAATAAAATAAACAAAATAATACGCAAATACAGGAAAATGATACTTGTTAACCATATCACATCATTGTTCTACTAAATTCATATGCATCCTAAATATATTTGAAGAAACCCAAATCTATTTCCAAATAATTTGCCATGACCATGGTTTAAGAAAAACATCAACAAAATACTGCCCTAATGACCTCTATATATAAAAATAAACACAAAAATCTATGTACATAATTTTGTTCTCTTAAACTTGAATATCTTAAACCTATTAGCATGCCTTACATATATTTACATAGATCGAAGGCTTTTCTTGCGTATTTTATCGTTATAACAACATACTGATATTTTTGACTTACATTTTTATAACTGAGACTGTTGAATTCGGAGTTAAAGATAAATTTTAGACTAATAATTTCAAAGAATGGTTTTATATTTTGTAAACAATGCAGAACAATATCAATATTCTAATGTCATTTTGTAGATTAAAAATTGCATGATAAAATCAAATTGCTACATCATTTTAATTAGAGACTTAAAAGTAATTGGTATATTTATAATGGATAAAATGAAACTGTTTCCATTACATCATGTATACCTCAGTTAGATGTCGTGTGTGTGAAAAATTGCATAATCCTTTATTACAAAATTCTATGTAACCGTACAAAAATATAAACATGCCAAAATTATACAGGCTTGACACTTCTATATTGTATGTCTTCTGCATACATACTTATCTATATGTTAAATAGTGAGGCGATGGAAATGTCAAAGCTATTTAAAACAAGGCTTACCATTCTGAATAATCTCAACATACAGGTTATACTTAAAATATCCATTTCGTTAACTCTTCTTTTGCTCCTTAATATATAACTAACAAATTATGTGGAAATATGACCACAAAACTTTTTTTATGCCAAATATGGTTAGTTGTATTTATACATTTTATACACTAAAATTCTGACTACTCAGAATAAATGTAAATATATACACGTAAACAAGGATTGGTAATGTATTTTAGGGTGATTCTCGTCTGGGTATTGACGACCTGCATCACTTTGAAGACTTATGCTTAGGAGGAGTCGTGGGGGGTCCACCTTGTTCTGCAGAAGCACCAATTGCAACTCCTTCACTGTCTACCTCCGTCTAAGTATAAAATAAATAATTCTGTAAATCAATAATATTTACAATGGCAGCAAAGAGGAATCAATTCTGGTAAATGTTTGTTTTTACCATCTATATACTTCTAAAAATCACCAATTCAAGTTTGCGGGCAATATTAACAACCTCTGTGACAAATTAAGTCTTTAGATTGTTTTTGTATAAGTAACTGTTGTGTTAGCAAACCACAAGTACAGAAATTGAAATCTCCAACTAAAATAGAAGAATAACAATGCAGGACTCAAAATTTTACATGTCGCACATAATAGATATCAAAGCGGACAGGCATTCAATATTTGGGCACTCGAGTCACCTAGCCACGCAATATCAAACCTTTTCTTTTACTTATTATAAGTTTATAAGCCTGTCCCGAGCTACAATCCCCAGCCGTTTCTAAGCGATGAAGCCCTAGACGGTAAATTGTACTGTCTTAGCGTAAGAAAAGCCTATTTACTCTTGCTTTGAACACACCCCGATTTGGAAAGCGGATGGAAAGACAGACGCCGGCAAAATATTCCATTTACTTCCTGAACACATTACAAAAGACGAATCAAACCGTTTGGTTTGAATTCGTGGGATATCGAAGGCAAAGGTGTGACTCCTGCTGACTGTCTACTTTGATGATAGTGGAAAAAACAGGATTAGACCTAAACTTGGGAAGTAGAACATATTTTTAAATACAAAATTTGCTCCAAATCGTTAAAGCCATTTTCGAGAAGCCAATAACATAACATATACATATATATCAGAATTGCTCACTCATAACTCATGGTCGGATAAGCGGACACTTATTAAAGTTTACATTTTGTAGCATTAAAGAAAGATTATTATGGACGCCTTTTTGAATCCCACATGAAATTAATAAAAGTGTTACCTACATATAAATATTTTATAGGAACAATTGAACAAATTTGATATTTCATTGAATTCTTTCATATTAAATATGAAAGAATTTTTTTTTTTAATTTCATTACAGTCAAACAATTAACAAAGAAAATTTATATGAGAACTTGTTCGTCTATACACGCTGTATTAGAGTTTGAACACATTCGTAGGCTCAGTTATTAGCGAAAATTTGTAGAAAGCAATACATGTTTATTTATTATCATTCACTGGTTGGAGGCTAACAATAATCTGCAACATGGAAAAAAAGAACTCAAACAGAAAGTTTGCCCCAAAACTTAGATTTTTACTTTCTTAAAACACACAAGTTTTATAAGTTTTAGCGTGCCTAATTGCATAATATTATTTATTAATTATCACATATTTTTTTATAGGAGCGGGGGCAAACGAACATGCTGCTCACCTGATGGTAAGTGACTAGCGTCGACCATGAAGAACTGCAACACCAGGGGAATTGCAGATGCGTTGCCGGCCTTTAAAAAAGGAGTAGGCTCTTTTCTTGAAGGTCCCTAAGTCGTATCGGTCCGGAAAAATCGCTGGTGGTAATCGATTCCACAAGGAAGTTGCGCGAGGAAGAAAACATCTTCTAGATCGCACTGTGGTCGACCACCAATCATCCAGATGGTATGGATGGTAACGCGAGTTTTGTCGCGATGTGCGATGGTCAAATTGAGCGGCTGGAATTAGTCTGAACAATTCCCCAGAGCACTCCCCGTGGCACATACGATAAAATACGCAAAGAGATGCAATATTTCTACGCCGAGCCAGTGAGTAAAGCCGATCGGAAAGAACTCGGTCATCGACGATTCGAACCGTTCTGCGCTGAATGCGGTCAAGTGGAAGGAACTGGCACTGGGGAGCCTCTGCCCAGAGATGGGAACAGTATTCCATGTGAGGCCGAACCTGCGCCTTGTAAAGTTGCAGGCGGTGTGCCGGCATGAAAAATGTCCCGCTCTGCTGAGCACGCCAAGCTTTTTAGAGGCCAAATTGGCCTTCTCTTCCAAGTGACCACTAAACTGCACGTTACTCCGCCGAGGATTCCGATATTGTCTGAGGCTTGCCTCAGGCAACAAAATTTGAGGCAAAAAAAAACTGAGGAGATACGTCAAAGGGGTTCCTTTTAGCGATAAACGAGCAAACTTGTGTCTTCTGGGGATTGAACTGGACTAGATTTAGTCGCCCCCAATCCGAGACTTTGTTGAACAAAGTCTCGACTTGAGACACAAGTTTGTTCCGGTACTCGGCGACTTTTCCAGAGAAATACTGCCACGGCCGGTGTATAGAGCATCACCAGTGCTGTCATCTGCATAGCAATGTATGTTACCGGTTTGCAACATATCATTGATATGCAGAAAAAACAGCACGCAGCCTTGTGGAACACCAGCATTAATAGGCTTGTAATCGGAGCACGCACCGTCTACTACGACCTTGGTGCAGCGATCAGCCAGAAAACGGGCGATCCACTTGCACAATTTCTCGGGAAGCCTATAGGAAGGAAGCTTCGAAAGAAGCGCTTTGTGCCAGACTCGACAAAAGGCCTTCGCTATGTCTAAACTAACGGCCAATGCCTCCTCCTTGGACTCGATCGCCTGCGTCCATCTATGTTAGGTAAACAAGAAGATCACCAGCTGAGCGACCCCGACGGAAACCGTACTGGCAATCACGAATCAGCTGGTGCTCCTCAAGGTACCGCATGAGCTGGCAGTTAATAATGGATTCCATTATTTTAGAGAACAAGAAGGTGCTGGCGATAGGCCTGTAATTGGACGGATCAGAGCGTTTACCTTTTTTAGGTATAGGGTGCACGAAAGCTGTCTTCCATGAATTCGGGACAACGCCTAAGGAGTAGGAGTACCGAAAAAGACGCGTTAGAACCGGTGCCAACTCAGGAGCGCACGTCCTCGGCACAATTGGCGGGATTCCGTCAGGCCCACCCGATTTGTGGATGTCCAGGTAGAGGAGTGCTTTGCGTACTGAGCACTGTGTGAATCTCAAGTCAGGCATAGAGCACTCACACTGCGGGATGCTCGGCGGTGTGTTCCCCGTCATCAATAGTCGAGTTGGACGCAAAAAGGGAGTCTTAAAAGGTCGGCTTTCTCTTTGGGGCGTGGGCCAGTGAGTGGTCCTCCCTGTGCAGAGATGGTAGTGATGGCTTACAGAAATTCCCTTGGACAGCCTTGGCGAGAGACCAGAATGCACGGGTTCCCGAAGTAAGGCGAACTAATTTCTTGCCAATTCTGCTTATGTGCTCTGACTTTGCCTTAGCAATAACTCTTTTGAAGGACCTGGAGGCGAAGTTATACTAACATTTAAGCATACTGGTGTTTACATCCCGAGCCGCCGAAGCCTCAGCCCAGGCCTGATAACACTCCTGCTTACTGCGTAATGCAGTCTTACAGGAGCGACCAAACCAAGGCTGAGATCTGCCACCGATGGGTATACCACAGATGATGGAATAAATAGTTCCATTCCCCGTAGCAGCACATAGGTGACAGAGTAAGCAACAGCGCTGGGATCATCCGGCGAGAAGCAAACCCGCCCCCATGGGTAGGATGCAAAGAAAGACCGCATTCCGTCCCAATCCGCCGACCTGTAATGCCAAACAGGGCGGCAACCTGCAGAACGTAACCGCGAGGAGAGCATGAGTGGCACCACACTCCGGATCAGACAATGGTCCAAAGAGCCGAGAGGGGCATCGACGGAAATCTGATATCCGTCCGAATGAGAGGTCAGCAGAAGGTCCAACAGGGAAGGTGTATGATCCTCCACATCTGGAATCCGCGTAGGCGAAGTAACCAGTTGTGTCAGACCATATGCCAATGCATAGTCATAAACAGATCTCCCTGCATGACCGGTTAAACGTGAACCGAGCATGGTTTTCATCGTGGTGGGCATTAAAATCGCCAAGTATCACAATCTGTACGGATGGTATCTGTTGTAGCAAAAAATCTGTAGCCATTTGAAGTGGTCGATGAGTCGGTCTGTGTCGGCATTACCGCCGCTATGGGACCTATACAGGAACTCGTAGACGCGAGGACGGTCGTCGCTGTCTACGCGCAGCCAAAGGATGGAGAGCTCCGTACCTTCAAGACTGCCAAGACATCGACAACAGATATCCTCTCTGACGTATACGCAAACTCCAGCCCGGGGCACAAAGAAGTGTTCTAATTTGTACCCCGGGTAGGACAGGTACCACCGGCCACCTGCTCTAACCAAGCGAAACGCAGAAGCATAGCTTCTACTTTACGTTGGTATTCTGTGAGGTCGTGGTACTGCCCCGATTCGAGCCGGCCCATCCATACTACAGCACAAGCTGTAGTGTGGCTCTACCACTGTTGAATATTTATAAATAAAAAGTATTTTATGTAAATATTTATAATAACCCATATATAATATGCTTAAGAAAGTAATCAACCAATATATAAATAAATTAAGAACAGTTTACCTTTTCATCTTTTGACATAGCTTGTGGTGAACCTGTGCCATTGGTGTTTTCAGCTTCATTTTCCACCGATTCAGAACCTGTGGTCCCTGCCAAAATTTGTATTCCTTAATTTCGAACAAACTTTTCAATTATACAAAATAGGCATTATAAATTAAATTGTTATCACTATAATATTATGTATGTTTTACTCAAGATTTTAATCCTTATTTTTAGCCTTATAAAATAGATAATCAGTGAAAGATTAAACTAGCTTGCATCATCTTTGCAGCTTCCTTTGGCACGCAAAAATTTAGTATTAGTGTCTGGTAAAAACAACACTCATTTATTTTAGTTATATTTGAAAACGTAATAAAGTCGATGCTTAAGAAAAATGGTCTATAAAGTATTAAATTAAAATAAAAACTTCATCTTCTTCAAAGAAATTATGTTAATCTCTTTTACAGGCTTATTGAATATTGGACACAAATCCATGAAAGGGGTGAAAGATGTGGTTTTAAAACCAATAATGCTAAAAGGCATGTAATGTAAGACTGTAAGGCATGGAAAGTAAACCATTTTTGACGGCTCCGTGGCGCAGTGATTTAGCAATGAGTTCCAGCGCTGGGTGCTACGGGTTCGAATCCCGCACGGAACAAGTATTTGTATGGCCTACAAATAATTGTTCTGGGTCTGGATGTTTGTCCTTGTGCAATTTATGTTTGTAAACTGCCTCCACGATACAGGAGAAAATCCTAGTGTGGAGGTAATGTTTTTTAAAAACTGTTTGTATTTTTGACAGTAATATTTTTTTCAAAGGGTGTACTTGACAACTTTAAACTAATAAATAAAATAATGCATGGAATCATAGTTTTCCTTTTTTTGTAAGTTAAGAAAACACTAAAAAATTAAAATGATCAAAATAAGAGGACAAAATTTGCAGTTTTATGAATAGGTTTTAGGTTCAATATGAAATCAGACTACGAATGACGAAGCAAGAAGTTTAGGGTTCGGAATTCGAATGTGAGGTATTTCTATAACAAACAGCTAGGGGACGGACGGGCAAGACGGAGAGGGTGGACAAAAAGAATAATTCTTCTAGTTTATTGTCAAATTGTTAGAAAGACATAAACCGAGGATCACGTGACGAACGGTACCGAGCCGCGGGCAAGTAGAGCGCTGTCGGCTGCGGGACGAGCGCAACGGGTGCTGTGCAGACAGAATTGTTTTTGTAAAAAAAGAATCATTTTTCAATGTAATTATAACTGTTACTAATTTACTTGCGTTGATAGTTTTTCCAGTTTCTGCATATTCTTATATCATGTTCATTTCCGTAGTTACATATTATTTTACTATATTCACTTAAACAAAAATGAGTATTTTGATTTCGAAAGTGTAGGTGGGAAAGATGGAACAGGACGAAACGGATACTATTCATTTGTTTGTTGCAACTAAATTACTTTTTTTTTATTAATATCAGATTATGTATAACTGTAAGAGCAACAGTGATCGTGCAAACTGGTTCGAAAAAAGTCTGCTTAATGCTTTGCTTGCAGCCCAATCAGCTTCAATATCAGATGCTAGCAAAAGCATGGCATTCTATCTGTAGGCAAATTTATGCCGGCATTTGAAATGTGGCATAACTACAAGAAGCTAGGCCGATTTGTATGACGAAAAAAATTATTTACTGCAATATGTACAGCAAATGGATAAAAATTTTTACGGCCTCCAACTATCCAAGAGGTATCAATCAGTATGATGTAGCTAAACTTGAGCAGAAAAGGAAGCATTTTTTTTTTATAGGATAAGGGTGACAAACGAGCACACAGTCCACCTGATGGTAAGTGGTTGCTGCGGCCCATAGACATCTACATCTATCCTCGTTTGCGAATCAAAATGCAGATGCGTTGCCACCCGTGAGGACTAAGATGGAATGCCTCATTTCCAGTAAAAAGGGCCTCCGGCCACCTGCACTCACCAAGCGAAACGCAGAGGTAAACCTCTACTTCACGCTGGTATTCTGTGAGGTCGTGGTACCACCCCGGTTCGAGCCGGCCCATCCGTGCGACAGGAAAAGCTGCCGCGTGGCTCTACCACTGTTAAAGATGTAGCCTCTGCAGAAAGAAGAAAAGTGGAGTCTCTGAAGAAAGTTGCTATTGAGCTAGACACCACACCTGGGTCATCCAAGATTAAGAGAAAAAAACCTAACTAAGGAAAGGGTACAGTAACGACCAGAGCAAGACTATTTCTGCACTATATGTAAAGAAAAATACGTTTCGCCTCCACTGGAAGACTGGATCCAGTGCAACACATGCTGAGAGTGGACTCACGAAGCCTGTTACTCTTACATGGGTCTAGAACTCTAGAATCATATTTTTGTGACAATTGATTTGACTAAATGGTGATTATTAGTTTCTAATCGTTTTGCCCGCTGAAGAAATTCGTTTTGCCCGCCCAGGTTAAGCAAAACAGATAATTACACATTACACATACAATTACAGAATGTTTAATTTTTGAGTTAATTTTTTGTACAAGTTTAAAACTTTAATAACTATTGAGTTGTTATATTTACGTGAATACAGATGGAATAAAAGTAATTTTACGGATGTTATCGCTTTTAATTTTAACTTTTTTAATTCCCGACGTTTCGGGCACTTTCCAGCGCCCATGGTCACGGGGAGGACTGAGATATTTGAGGTCCCGATGTCATAGTTAACGAAGGCTACCTCTTCAACTTTTAATTATTAATTTTTGGTCTGATCTACACAGAACGAGCTAACAGAATCTTGAAGTCTTGCAGTAGTATGCTTGGGTTTGGATTTCATTTTATTACTTATGGGATCCCAAGCAGATGGCCCAGCCATCTTCTCTATTGAAGCCTCGCGTATCATCCTTGGTAGGAATAGGTGTTCTTTTGCGAGGATTTGAGGTTAATCAAAGTCGATATAATGGTTCGAACGATCCTGAACATGTTGAAGGAAGAAGGTAGTATGCCAATCATATCAAATCAAATGATACTGCAGATTTCCTTACTGAAGAAATCTTACGCAATTCTTGCTTACATTCTCTATCCCTATTTATTTTTTATTATCTATCCAAGTGCAGAGTTGGCACTTGGAATGTTAGAGGAGGCATGAGAGATAAGACGAATGAGTTGATCGAAATAATGAAAGAAAGAGAATTAGATGTCGTGTGTATGTCGGAGACCAAACGGAAGGGCAGTGGTACTGAAGAGCTCCCTGGCGGGGCGTTAGCTCTATGGTCCGGAATCCCGGAGAGCGAGAACGCCTGCCAGGGAGTGGGGGTGCTGCTGTCTTCTCGGTTGGTCGATGTTATGACTGAATATAAGTTTGTGAACTCAAGACTTCTCTGGGTTCGCTTTAAATTGGGACTGAAGAAGTTATTCCTTTTGGCTGTTTATGCGCCGGTAGCTTCGTCGTCCAGGGCTGAGCTGAAGGAGTTTTGGGAGAATGTAAGAGAAATTCTAGATTTGGCTAGGGGAAACGAAAGAATTGTTGTATGTGGTGATTTGAATGGATGGGTTGGTACCGCTCGACCTGGGTACGAGTCGGTACTTGGAAAGTTTGGCGATAAAAGGGTTAATGATGCTGGCAAGCTTATACTGGCGGTATGCAAGGAAAAGGGTCTTCTTGTGACAAACACTATGTTTAATCACAAGAAAATCCATATGTATACTAGAGAAAGAAAGAATGAGAGATGTATGATCGATTTGTTCCTGGTGGATGACCGACTGCGAAAACAGGTTATGGATACGCGAGTGTTCAGGGGTGCTGACCTGGGAACGGATCACTATCTAGTGATTACTAGATTTAGGGGTCTGTTCGCGGGTTGGCGCTACCGGACGGCAGTGACAGAACCACAGTCGGTCTTTCGCATCCGAAGCTGGAAGCTTCAGGAAGCGGATACTAGGGACAAATATCATGCGAGGGTAGCCGAAAACCTTGACACCATCGATGGCAGAAACGAATGTGTAGAAAGAACATGGCAGAACCTTAGGGATGGAATGGTAAGTGCAGCGGAAGAAGTGTGTGGAACAATAAAAAGAGGCAGTAGTAAAAGAAGAGATGCATGGTGGAATGATGAAGTGAAAGAAGCTGTAAAGAAGAAGAAGAAAGCATGGTTAGACTACTTGGCCTCTAGTAATGATAAGGATATGAGAGAGAAGATGAAAGAAAGATATAGGCTGCAGAAAGTTCACACGAAAGCATTGATTGAGGAAGTGCGTGAAAGGTGTAGAATGGAAGCGGACGAAAGGTTGTCGCACAACTTTAAGGAGAACTCCAAACTCTTCTGGAAAGAGGTTGGAAGGACCCGAAGTGGTGCGACGGCCTTAAGAATGAACAAAGTGCTTTCGAGAACTAATGACGTCCTCTCAGAAAAATCGGACGTCATGCAGCGATGGAGCGAATTTTATAGAGAAATGTATGCGTGTGATGATCTTAGTGAGGGATCCGGGGATGACGCCGTGACTGGTACGCCAGACCCGGACCTCGATGACACTGAGGTCATCAGTATGAAAGAGATTGAACGTGCGATTCGAAGTTTGAAATGTGGTAAGGCTGCGGGACTAGACAGAGTTACTGCTGAAATGGTCAAGTATGGTGGGCCTCGCGTCTGGGACAGCTTTCATCTGCTGTGCAATTTGTGCTGGCGGACGGGGGATGTCCCGGATGATTGGCGATCCGCAGTCATTGTGCCTTTATATAAAGGTAAAGGTTCACATTTTGACTGCGGGTGCTATCGGGCGATCAGCTTGACCAGTTTAGCAAGTAAAGTTTACTCGAAGGTTTTGACACGTAGGATGCAAGAGAAATCGGAAAGATTTCTATGGGAGGCACAATGCGGATTTAGACCTGGAAGAGGATGCACGGATCAAATGTTTTCTCTCCGCATGATCACGGAAAAGCTTCTGGCTGCTAACCAGAAGATTTTCTGTGCTTTTGTGGATCTTGAGAAAGCATTTGATAAGGTTGTAAGGAAGAAAATGTGGGAACTGTTGCCGGGGTATGGTGTGGATGGTCGATTGCTAAGGGCTGTGCAGTCTCTTTACTGTGACTGTAAAGCCTGTGTGCGGGTAGGGCATGACCTGTCACCCATGTTTAGCGTCCAAACGGGCGTAAAACAGGGTTGTGTCATGTCTTCCTGGCTGTTCATACTGTATCTCGATAGCTGTTTACAAATGCTGAAAGATAGCTGTTTGGGTGTGAAATTGGGTGACATAAAAGTAAATTGTCTGCTGTATGCTGATGATGCAGTGTTTATTGCACCATCAGAGGCAGAACTGCAGGCATTAGTCACGTGTATGAAAGAGGAATGTGAAATTAAAGGTCTCCGTTTGAACGCTAATAAAACTAAGGTTCTGGTATTTGAAAGGGACGAAGAGAGAACGAAGTGTGAAATATGGGTAAATCAGGAATGACTAGAACAAGTAAATGAAATTGTATACTTGGGGAGTGCTTTTAGCCGGGATGGAAGATGTGATTTAGATGTGGACAGGCGTGTCGCTGCCGGGAACAAAGTCAATGGTGCCCTGACTGCGTTAGTCAAAAGGCAAGGCGTAGTGAAGAGTGCACGCCTTGCAATACATAACGCAGTGTTGGTACCGACTTTGTTATATGGCAGCGAAACCTGGGTATGCCAGAAGAAGCATAAAAGCAAGTTGAATGCAGTGGAGATGCGATCTCTTCGTAAAATGTGCGGCGTTACCATGGCCGACCGAAATCGAAACGAAGAGATTCGCAATATGGCAGGTTTAAAAGATGACCTTATCACAAAAATTGATAAGGGCGTGCTTCGGTGGTTTGGGCACGTTGAGCGAATGAGTGAAGACCGAATGGTGAAGAAAATATATAGCGCGAAAGTTAACATTAAAAGGTGTCGAGGTAGACCGAGACTAACTTTCGAAGACCATGTGAGCAAATTGCTCGAAGAGGGTAGGGTCAAGAGTACTCGGATACCTAGACGTGCATGTATGAAGAGATAATGAATCTGAAAGAAGCGAAAGAGGTATGTAAGGATCGTGACACTTGGCGATCTGTTCTCTCTGGCTACACCGTCAGGGATTGTGCGTGAAGATAAGTATTCTCTATCCCAAGATTTAAGATTATTACGACAAAGATAAAATATGAAATCGCAACCCCTAGCAACAGAAGGTTTCATCAAAGACTAGATCAAAACTTTAATCCTAGAAAGTAGGAGCCATGGCAGGAGACTCGTTTAAACAGTGAATAGACCACTTATAATGGTGTGTATTAAACATTCACTGGAATTTTCGTTAATTGTTGGATTATTTCACTTACCAGATTGTATATGATTAGCATTTCCACGGTCAGCCTCGTGTTCACGCAAAACAGCATCCAAATTGTAACGGCGCCGATAAGATATGAAGAATGTACGGACATGGGCCTCCGTTTTAGTACCAAGTGTCTCGGCAATTGCTTGGAAATCCTTACCTGAATTTTAAACTTTGTATTACTAATTCATTCAAAATTGATAAACATGCTGGTAATATTTTCATCCATCATTTCGTGCATTCAACCATTTTCATGCTCATTCTATAAATATTGTCCAAAGATCTTAATCTTGTACTGAAAGTTTATGTAAACCACCACATAATTGCATCTAATTCCTTAAAAGTAACAATGCATATCAGCATTTTGAATCTTAATTAAAGATATATATACGAGTATAGACGTTAATGGGCCACAGCATCCACTTACCATCAGGTGGCCTGTGTCGTCCTTCTTAAAAAGTTGTGCTCTACCTCAGTGCTAGACTAGACACAACATAGACCGAACATCTCAGTGCATGAGAACACAACAGTATGTTCGCTTAAACCCTATACAAACTGCGCGCAAGAGATTATTCCGCTAACGGTAGTTCGATAGAAGCATGACGTGATGACGCTATTGGCAAAGCTTACACGCGGATTGTTTTAAGATTATTTTTTTCGGGTACAAGAATAAAATGTGATTAATTTTCTATTTTATGTTTATATTTTTCTTTTTGTTTTGTTTTTTGTTACTTAATTTGTAAATGTAATATCCTAAATAGTTTAAATGGTTTATTATTAGTAATAATTATTTTTAACCTTTTGACCGCCACGCCAAAATCGCATAACCGTGTCCTGTACGCCAAAGCGAAGAGTAAACAAAAATATCTACGAAAATAATAGTGTTGCCAAGAGTTGATATATCGATAACATAAAATAACTTGTTTTTGTTGGTTTTTTATGCAATAAATGACTCTTTATAATCTGGTATATTTTATTTAATCTTGCGCTGTCTTCCACTCTTTTTATATATGTACTTTGTACGTAAATAAAAAGCAAACAATATCAATAAAATAGTAGTAAACCACAGCACTACTCTCCATCGTTATGACGTCACTGTCACGACTGGACGACAACGGCGTAGCTGACCTTCCTTTTTGAAACTTTCTTAGAGATGTAGCCGTGTCGCACGTTTTGTATCGATTTCGAAATCTATCCAACCAAAACATACAGACATCGAATCAAAATATTTTATGTGTCGGGGGAGGCGTAGGCCAAGTGAAGCACAGAAGAAAAGTCTAACGCTTTTATGACAATGGGGGTTTGATATGACGCTGATGCTGCCAGATGATTTTAAGATTGAGAAAGAAAATCGCACAACACAAAATGAAAAATTGCTCTTTATACCTTAAGTAAAAAAAAAAACATTTATTATTTGTAATTTTATATTATTAAAATAAAAAAGTTGCCGTGTAGTGGCGGTCAAGAATATCCACTACCCCATATCCTCCCGTGGGTGTCGTAAAAGGCGACAAAGGGAAACAGGCAGGAGATGGGCAGCAGCATCTTCCTGATAATAGCCAAATTACAATAAAAAAACTGCGGTTGCCAACCCGCTCGCCAAGCGTGGCAACTATGGCAAATACCCCCCTATGAATGACAGTAACAAAAAAACGGCCCCCAGTCCCCGGCGGCCCCGCTATTCCTGGCTACGGTGGCGACCATGGTAACGGCGGGGCAGGGGGTGCTAAGAATCTCCGGTGGAGGTTCGGTTGCCACCTTAGACGACTCGACCTGGCAACGTACAACGCACGCACCCTGAGGACTGACGAGAAGATCGTGGAGCTGGAAGAAGAGATAGACAAGTTGCGCTGGCATATTATAGGATTATCCGAAGTCCGAAGAGAGGGGGAGGACACGGTAATCCTCGAATCCGGCAACTTGCTCTATCACCGGGAGGGCGACCATCTGTCCCAAGGAGGTGTCGGATTTATCGTCCACAAGTCTCTCGTTAACAACGTTGTAAAGATCGGGAGTGTGTCGACGAGGGTTGCGTACCTTATACTCAGAATCACCAAACGGTATTCGCTGAAGGTCATACAGGTTTACGCACCAACCTCGGCACACCCCGATGAGGAGGTGGAGGAAATGTATGAGGATATCTCTAGAGCCATGCATTCCTCCAAAACCCAATATACGGTGTTAATGGGAGACTTCAATGCAAAACTAGGCACAAGAGATAACGGTGAGCTGAAAGTAGGGAAATTTGGAATAGGGCAACGGAACCCAAGGGGCCAGCAGCTGGCCGACTTCATGGAGAAAGAGGGACTCTTTATGATGAACTCTTTCTTCCAGAAGCGGCCCCACAGGAAGTGGACCTGGTCGAGCCCCGACGGTTCCACAAAAAATGAGATTGACTTCATTATGACGACCAGACGACAACTGTTCAGTGATGTCTCCGTGATCGCGAGGGTGAAAACTGGTAGCGATCACCGAATGGTTAGAGGCACACTGAACCTAAACGTTAAGTTGGAGAGGTCTCGTCTAATGAAGTCAACGCTCCGTCCCCCTCGTGCTCTGTTCCAAAGTCCCGAAACCTTTCAGCTCGAGTTACAAAACCGTTTTCAGTGCCTGGAAGACTGCAATGAAGTGGACGATATGAATGACAAGCTCGTGGAAACTGTCCATGCGGTCGGAGTTAAGTTCTGCAAGACCCGCCGCAGAAGAACACAAAAACTCTCCGATCACACTCTTAATCTCATGGCTGTTAGACGGGAGATGAAGCTACATTCTTCAACAGACTTGACAGCATACAGGCATCTGAACAGACAGATCTTCAAATGCATGCGGCGGGACTTACGCAACTTCAATACAGCTCGTATTGAAGAAGCGATCGAGCGGAACCAAGGCTCCAAAGTCTTTGCCAGAGATCTGTCTGCCAGAAAGAGCCAACTGTCAAAGCTGAAGACAGAATGTGGCAGCATCGTTTCCGGGACACCTGAGATTTTGAGTGAGATTGAGAGGTTCTATGGGCAGCTGTACACATCATCGTTGGAGCCACACGCAAGTGTGAGTAACGATCCAAGAGCGAGTCTCATCCGACACTATTCCGAAGATATCCCGGATGTCAGTCTGAGCGAGATTAGGATGGCTCTCCAGCACCTTAAAAACGGTAAGGCCCCAGGCGAGGATGGAATTACAGCGGAGCTTCTGAAAGCGGGTGGAAGACCGGTACTTGAAGTCCTTCAGAAGCTCTTTAATTCCGTCCTCCATGGTGGCATTACACCGGAGGCGTGGAGCAGAAGTGCGGTGGTCTTGTTCTTCAAGAAAGGTGACAACGCTCTCTTGAAGAACTACAGACCGATTTCCCTTCTGAGCCGCGTCTACGTGCTGTTTTCGAGAGTCATTACGAATCGTCTCGCGCGCAGACTTGACGACTTCCAGCCTCCCGAACAAGCCGGTTTCCGAAAGGGCTTTAGCACCATAGACCACATACATACCCTTCGGCAAGTTGTACAGAAGTCCGAAGAGTACAATTTGCCACTATGTCTGGCGTATGTGGACTATGAGAAAGCCTTTGATTCCGTCGAAATTTGGGCGGTGCTGCAGTCCCTTCAGCGGTGCCAAGTTGACTGTCGGTATATCGAAGTGTTGAAGTGCTTGTACAGTAGGGCTACGATGGCTATCCGAGTACAGAACCAGAGTATGAAACCTATCCAATTGCAGAGAGGTGTAAGACAGGGTGACGTCATATCCCCGAAACTCTTCACCGCTGCATTGGAAGACGTTTTCAAGCTTCTGGACTGGAAAGGATACGGTATCAACATCAATGGCGAGTACATCACTCACCTTCGATTTGCCGACGATATAGTCCTTATGGCAGAATCGCTGGAGGACCTAAGCACTATGCTCAATGACCTCAATAGTGTTTCCCAACGGATAGGTCTTAAGATGAACATGGACAAAACAAAGATCATGTTTAATGTCCATGTCACACCTATGCCGGTAGTTGTTGGGAACACTAAGCTCGAAGTTGTTGACGAGTATGTTTACCTGGGACAAATAGTCCGACTGGGTAAGTCCAACTTCGACCGAGAGGTCAATCGACGGATTCAACTCGGCTGGGCAGCGTTCGGGAAGCTACGATACATCTTCTCGTCAGACATACCTCAAAACCTTAAAACGAAATTGTACAACCAGTGCGTGTTGCCAGTGATGACTTACGGAACTGAGACGTGGTCCTTCACTGCTGGCCGTATGAGGAAGCTCAAGGTCGCTCAGCGAGCTATGGAGAGGGCTATGCTCGGAGTTTCTCTGCGTGATAAACTTAGGAATGAGGATATCCGCAGTAGAACCAGAGTGACCGACATAGCCCAACGGATTAGTAAGCTGAAGTGGCAGTGGGCCGGCCATATAGCTCGAAGAACCGACAACCGATGGGGAAGAAAGGTTCTCGAGTGGCAGCCTCGTACCGGTAGGCGAAGTGTAGGGCGTCCCCCTACGAGATGGAGTGACGACCTGGTAAGACATGCAGGAAGTCGATGGATGCAGGTGGCTCAGGACCGTGTTTTGTGGCATTCTTTGGGGGAGGCCTATGTTCAGCAGTGGACTTGTGAAGGGCTGTAATGATGATGAATGATGAAAATAAAAAAGGTACATAATTATTCACTAATTAACAATTGTATATAATTATTCGCACTAGGTAAATCAGTCAGAATCGTTCATGTTGCACTGCACTACTTTTCCTGTTAATCACTTATGACGTCATCAGGGTGTCGTCTATCCTTGACCACGGCGCCCAGTGAACTGATTTTCGATGAAGCGCTAAGGATGCGCCTGATTTATTATGCGAAGAAGAATATTTTTTTATTCATGTAGCTAATTATAGATTTATGTTTCTAACCTTTTGTTTTATTCAAATATCAATAATAATAATTTAAATAAAATAACACGTTTGAGCTGAATTTTGGCTAGTTTTGAAGAAATCTGTGCCTCCCGCGCACGGCACTAGCAGTCAACTATAGACGACTTTGGCATGCTGGACATAGTATTTGCTTAGATAAAAACCCATTTTTTTAGTTCAATGTTTCTTAGTACTTGTGGCTCTAGAAGACTTGTTTTTTATACTCACATGTTGCTGCTGGGTTATTCTTTTTTGAGGAGTGTGGAATTAAAATACCAGTAATAATTTTCCAATATCTATGTTTCATATTTTTGTGGGGGCCGGGTTTTTTGTCAACTATAGACGTCGTTGGCGCTGAGGGCCCGCAGGTGCTGGTCAAGTATAGGCGACTTTGGCGGTCAAAAGGTTAAATTAATTTATCTTTCCTTGCTAATAATGTTTTTCAAGCATTTCAAGCGAAGAATGTTTAAAAACTTTCTTTGAATATATATGTCTGTCCCTTTACTGACATAAGCATGGTAAAAACAATGATTGATAAAAAGTGCAACTTACCATATTTCCTAACTGCCGTTACTGCCATAAGTAATTCATCATTAGTCCAACGTGAATTTATTTTTGCAGGTGGTTCACCAGGTCGAAGTTCCTCTACTCCTGCATCCCCTACTTTACGTTTCATTGCACTTAACTGTTGCTTATTCTGTTGAACCTGTACGAAAACATCTATTATGTATCAGAAAGACTAAACGAAGCAATAATAAACACAGCCCAAATAAAAATAGAAATGAATCAATGCATATCTGGATTATCCAAGTTCTACAAAAGAAAAAGGGATTTAATAAAACTATTTTTGTATAGTATTATTATAAAGCAAATATCAAGAAATTTGAAACAGGAATTGCAGCGAAATGTGTGCAGAATACATTTTGTTGATATTATAATTCATGGCTATATACAACTAATTTGAAATGATTGTCTATTTAACTAGTGTTGAAAATAACTCATATTCCACATTCTCACATTACATCACACAAACCATCCATGCGGGACTGACCAAATAACTCTTTTAATTCAAAGGCGCACCGTGTCAACGTAAAGGTGAGAATGTGTCCCAACACTAAAATAGCGACATTAGTGGCGGGTTGCATCTTACTTGTCTCTTGAGCGATATAATTTCTCTGTCCATCGCTTTGAGCATAGCTTCGCCCTGATTGATAAGGCCGGGCTGCGGCGGATCTCCGGGCTGTGGACCAGTTGCCATGGCGACGAGATCATCATGATTGATGTAAATGCCACGCGGCAAACGGTGCTTATATCGTTGTTGTTTTGAGCCGGGCCCGCGTCGCCCCGACGGACCGCAGAGCGGCCTCATGGTGCCCGTGCGTCTGTCACATTACCGCCATTGTTCAAATAACTATAGGGCTTCTGACTTATAAATAGTAGTAGGAAAAGTTTATTTTTATTTTTAACAATCTTTACTGAATCCATATTTACATAACTGAACTTAAAAAGTAAAAACCAACAAAATGGAGTACGATAATCTCCACATACTTAATAGTTTCGGAAGTTGGTGCTAAAACATACTGTATTGAAAAATTAAAGCCCCAACTTCAGAAGCGATTGTGAAAATTATTTTATTCCTTAATGTTTTATGTCGATTTCTACTTTTTAAATGTTTATTTTACCCTTCTGGATGGAGTAATGAATATCAACAGTTCAAAGTAATAATTAGAACTGTTTACACGACTCTAAATAGTTACAATAAAAACTTCATCCCTTAATTTGCCAATCTTAGGGGTGGAAATTTTTTCTTAAAATTTTATATGAGACCTAGCCCTGCAGTGTAAACTACTTAATAACAGTAGAATCATTAGTCGGTTCAGACGTTTCCGAGATATCGTACATACACTATAGAACCTTTTTGTTTTTTCAACTCGGTAAAAAGTTTATTTTACTATGGACCGCCAAATGTACTTGAACCGTAACAATACTCTGGGTTATAAAAAAAACATGCATGTGACCGAAATTTTATTCCAAATTAAATTATTTTATTACGTTACCGACCTGGCGTGCACGAGGCATGCCTGACACAACTTCTGCGAGTTGTGCGCCGTTGTTTGTGTGCACAGAATGCCGCAAACAGTGCACCACTTTCCCGGACCTTCGCCGCCTCCCTCGCCCTAAACCCCAATTCAACATTTTACATTCTAACCTCTTACCAACAAAAACCTACACATACCCTATATTAGGTTAAACAACATATTGTAACTCCACACACACTTCGTTTAATAACCCATTTACATAAAAATGATATTCTGCACACATTAAAAATCAAGAAAACAAATTTTATTCCTGAAGGGGGCTGTTAAAGGAAGCATGCAGGAATACTGATAGTGAATAAGGAACAGGATAAGGATTAACCATTAAACATTTTATTTAGAAATTGTTTTGTTAGCTCCTCATTTAATAAATTATCACTGTATTATATCCTTCTGAAACATGTGAGAAATTAGTACATAATTGCATCATTCAGTATTTTGCACAATGAAAAAGTTACTCTCATGTTTCAAGATTTAAACAAAATAACAAACAAAACAATTATTTCTTTACAAATTTATGATAGCAATTCAATATTAACCATGAAACAGAAGAGTATCCTAACATGGGTTGTCCATAAAACATGTAAAATTGTTGCGAAAATAGGGCAACTCCCAACCAATGTCTACATTGCATTACAAGGGGGTTCAGTAATATTTTCATGTTACACTTTTTAGTTTCTCTGATTAGTTTTGAGTTTCGGAAGCACTTTAGAGCCACCAACCCAGCAGAAAGCGGGCGTAGTGGGAGAACAGGGTAGAAAGAAAGGCATATTCCTAGTGTAAAAACAATTAATATTACAAGTTATGTTTGCAAAAATCACTTATATGAAAGCAGAAATAAGGTTTCAAAGTATTGAATTCAGTGGTACATGTATTGTTTTTAGTTCATTAACAAATTGGACAGTAGAAACTGAGTAGTAAAAAAAAAACTAATATTCAAATGAAATATTAAATAAATTAAATAAATTAATGATAGAAAAATCGATTGAGCAGTTATGCATGGGCAGTTGTCAAATTATCCGTATGAAATCTCATATAGTTCCAATAACTTAATAATAATAGCTTACACCTTAATCTCCTATCACTGATATTACTTGATATATTGTTATGTTTACATACTTTTGTCAAATTAAGCGGAACTGCACTGTATGGCAATTCTGGCCATTCATTTATTACACCGATTGATTATTTTTGTACTGGTGCTGTAGGATTCAGTAACAGACAAATTTGTTTTTAATTACTGTTCATGTTTTACTGTACATGTTTAACTGATTATATAAGGTCGGAGAAAAAGTTTCTTCCTATTTCATATACAAATTCAAGAATTTTTTTTTCAAAGTTTAATTACATTTAATTATGATATATATATGCCATTTTGTTCGATAACTTGTTGCCATCTTAAAGGTAGTGACATAATGCGTATTTTTGATTTAAAAAAAAAATGCGACAAGCAGTTTTGACAATCCTCTCTTAATGTTAACCTAACACTACCCACAAAGTTCTGAAGAGGCCAAAACAGGCAAAAATCTAAGCGTGAAAGGTCAGGACTATATATATATGGTGGATGGTGCGAGGCGTCCCGGACTTACATAGTACATACGCAGTAGGGGCTAGCGCGTTCTAGACGATTGAATGTTACCTATAAGTTTTTTTAACGCTGTTTACGTAAATAGTTTTTTGTAAATACTTGTTCAAAAAGTTTTTCTTTAGTTTAGTATATTTAATTGTAGGATAAAATAGTTGCAAAGGTTTTAATGTAATTTATAAGTAATATATAGTTATATTACCTATCTATTTGATTATAATAGCAAAACGTCGTTCCTACAATAATTGCTGCGTGGATGGATGCTTAATGAGCAAACAAAAGGATTCAGATATATAATTTTTTAAGTTACCCAAAGGTAATGAGGTGAATTTATTTCATTTTTTTTTTTGTTAGATAGGTACTTATAGCGAAAAAGAGAATTAAGTAATAATTTAACTACAGAATATATAGTAATACCTAAGTACTTTACGAGGGGCACACTGAAATGATCTTGAATAGAATGTTTCAGATTGAGTTACAATAAAACCTTTTTTAGAATTTGAATACTGGCTTCTTAGAATCTTAATGACATTCAAACAATAAAAAAAAATGTTTAAAAACAAAAACTATGTTGGTTTAAAGTTGACACGTCGTTAACAGAAATGGAGCTCACGCGTGAACATTTCCATGCCATAATTTATCACAATTTTCGTCGCGGCTTATTTCAAGATAAAAGTCTCAGCGACATTGACAGCAGTATATTGTCAAACGACAATATACCGCTGGTATGCAGAGTTCCGACGCGGTCGTGTGTCGCTCAGCACTGTTTCTTCTGCAGGGCGACCAAGAACAGCGGTCACGCCTGAAAACATCGCAGCTGTGCGAACTATTATATTAGATGACCGTCATGTGACATACGAGCAGATTCGGGCTGTTGTCAGTATTGTAATGACTGCAATTCAGTCGATATTACATAATGAGCTGTGTGTAAGAAAGCTAGTTTCCCCACAATTTGTCCGAAGAGCAAAAGGCGGCTCGTGTAGATTGGAATACTCTGCAACGCTTCAACAGAGGGAAGTCAAATGCCGTTTATAATATCGTCTCAGGTGACGAATCAAGGATTTATTCATACGAACCTGAAAGAAAACATCAGTTAGCAGTTTGGGTCTTCGAAGACGAGGTCAAACCAACGAAAGTGGTTCGCTACCGCAGCGTGTTAAAGAAAATGGTCGCTACGTTTGTCTCGAAAAAGGGACATGTTACTACAATTCCTTTACAGGAACGCAGAACGGTTACCACTGAGTGGTATATCACGGTTTGTTTGCCTGAAATGATAGCCGAACTCCGAAAAAATAACCCGAAACGTCGCATCATCTTTATCACGATAATGCGAGCTCCCATACGGCTGGGAAGACAAATGATTTTTTGAAGCAGGAAAACGTTGAGCTGATGAGCCATCCTCCGTGTCCTGAGCTGAGCCCAAACGATTTCTTTACATTCCCTAGAATGAAAGATTTATTACGCGGTCAACGGTTTGAAGACCCCGAAGCAGCTGTGGAAGCGTACAAATCTGCCATTTTGTCAGCATCAACTTCAGACTGGAATTACTGTTTTAATGATTGGTTTGCACGAATGGAAAAGTGCATTAAGTTGAACGGAGAATACTTCGAAAAACAATAAAATACAATTTAGCTATACCGTGCATGTGGTTTTTCTTATTTCCGATCATTTCAGTGTGGCCCTCGTATTACAAAACTTAGTTGAAATTTACTTCACTATCCTAGTACCTACTTACATACCTCTATTTGTCTTTTGTGATTACCTACCTAAAATAATACATTAGATTTAAAGTTTTTTCCACTCTTAAATTAAACAACCGTTACTTTAGAGACGGTAAAAAAATATAAGACATTATATTAAAGTAAAACAGTTGTAAATTAAATAAATAATCAATAGGTATTATAAAAATACTGTATTTTGTACTCTTTGTTGAAAGCCCTTGGTAACCACGAAATATCGTCCGTGACGTAGTAACGGGAAAAGATGCAAATCCGTACGGATTACGGACACTCGCGCGCAGCGATAAGGTTTAATTTAGCTTGCGTGCGTGACTTATCTAATTAATAATAATAATGTAGGCAATTAAAACGTCGGCAAGTAGTCAACATCAAAGGGGTGCGATTTCTGTACGTAGTACTATTATTTATTCTGTGATTTCGCTAGTCTGTGGACCAGGACTGCCCTTTAACCATGATCTTTTTCGCACGGTCTTCTTATGAACACCTATGGGTGATCCACGTCACCAGTAATCAATATTTTCAAAAATGGTTCAGTTTCATTATTTTTCAATAGAGAATCGCAAATGAGTACACTATTCATTAGGTTTCTTTCAGTAAGCTGGGGTCAAGTGTTTTGTGGTCAATCTTCAATTACTCGGCAATGTCGTAACTAAGAACTAATATGTCGGATCTTGCTCCACTTTTTCAAAAATGGCATCGACTATATCCGTATGAGGGCGACCAGAATGAGCTTCATCTTTGACATCAAAATTCCCAGGCTGAAAATGCTTGAACCAACTTTGTGCCTCTTACTGACACTGCATTAGGTCAATTTTTTATAGATAACCATAAACGTCACAATTTTTTTCACGGCTTGAGTCTCATTTTTCCCCTTTTTGTAATAAAATTTTAGAATGTATCGAATTTCTTCATTAGATTCACTCATTTGGGCAGACAAAAACAATTGAAAAATAGCGGGAGTGTATTTTTTACTTTTTATTTTTCTTAATGTCCTATATGTATTGATATTAAAACCAGCCAGATACAAACAGTACAACCAAAGAAATTTTTCTTCAATATTATACAAACAAAATACGAAGAAACTCTTTCCCCGATTTTTATCTACAATTAATAAGAACTAACTTCTAGTAAAAAAGAATATATCATTAATATCCTTATTATAAAACATTGAGCAGTGACGTAAAAGAAGTACAAGCATTGAATTAAAACCAAAAGTAGGCATTGTTCATTGTAAATATGTTCCATTTAACTATTTTGCTAATGTAATATTTGACAAAAACCATACCTTCTAAAGCATAAATGCTCAAATTTGACTTATTTAAATTTGTGAAATAAAAAATTTGGTCCAGACATTTCAAACTGCATTTAGTTTTTTGATTCAGTTTTATTACATGTTTAAGATATTTTTCGCATGTCCTACCATAAAAATATGAACCCTATATTCGAAGTTGCTTTTTCTAAAGCTGAAAAACGTCGGTAAACTATCATTCAATTTTCTAAAGTACTGACTATTTACAGTGGGAAATCATGAAGTTAAAAATTTACATAATGTTAATTATAAATGAAGAGGGGGAAAGTAAAAACACGTTAAAAACTTTACATGATATATGAACAACTCCCCTGAAGAAAAATTATTTGGACATTAAAAACAGCCAGAAATAAAAATAGCAACTAAATATAAATACGGCTAAGATCTTACTCGGTAGATAAAAATGCAGAGCAGTCAAAATGAAATTAAGAAGCAAAGTCAACAATGAGCAGCAAAAAATTAAAACAACGAATGATGACTGAATAAAAGGAACAGTGCTCTGAAAACATAAAATCAAGCAAACAAATGCTAACTGAGAAAAAAATATTATGGGAAAAAGAGTGTTTTCACTCAAACATACAGTTATTTGATAACAAATTTAGAACTGTGTACAGGATATGGTTGAGATGAATAAGTGCAACTTAGTTAAGATGATTATCATAATTTATTTTAATACTGTTAAAACAATACTAATAGAACACAAAAAAGTACAAATATAGTGACAATCAATTTCAGCTAGGATATCTGATAAACATTGCTTTAAGGATGACAACATACACTAAATAGCAGAACATTTTGTAGAAGACTCAAAAAAGACATTTAACATCAAACAGATTGACATAGTATCAGCAGCAAGGTCATACTTGTTGTGGGGAAGTTTTGCACCCACCTCGCCCTGCTGTCCGGTACGAAGCGTGGAACCACCGGCCGCAAGGGACTTGCCTCCTCGGACAATACCTCGGTGGATAGTCCACTTCTGTTATATCCAATACAAGTCCATCATAGCATAGCAAAGAATAATAAATAACCAAAATTGAATACAGGTGACAGGTTGGCTATAGACGTCTGGTACTTGATTTTAATTATGTTTTCAGTTTAGGAGGTTTGTCAGGATTAAACTTGAACATTTTATACTGTTTTTTTTTTAACTTCTTTTTCTATATTAATGACTAAAACTACTTTTACGGATTTTTTGTGTCCTGTCCCCCATGACCACAGGTGCTGAAAGCACCCGAAATGTCAGGAATTAATAAAAATAAGATAAATAAGTTAATTAAACGCGAGAAAATCTGTAAAAGTAGTTTTAGTCAGTAATTATAATGAAAATAAATTACACTAAAAATTGCGTATAATGAAACAAATATGTCAATTTGTTTTTTTAACAAAGGTATACCCATAAAAAAGTTAAGCACTCGGACCCAGACAATCCATTTGTGGCTGAAGTTGAGACTCATGTACAATGGATTGAGACAGAGTGGAGAGCATTCAATAGGTTTTTCAGAAAACAAAATTATAGCAATTCATATTACATTGTTTCATTCACCACTATCATAGCAGAGTTTAGAGCAACCTGACTTTATAGATAACATGATAACATAGGTAGAATCTGTAGTAAAACTGAATCAGCACGTCTTGACTCCTCGTAATCTGCACTACCCCTAGTGTGTTTGTAAAGCTGTAGGCACGGTGGGATAGTAGACCGCCCCGCTGTAGCAAATTGCAGGCACCAGTGTGACCTGTAGCGGCTGAGGTTGGGTGCCAAAGGCAACCAATAAACCTCAGCAGCTTGCTCAGGTGCTGTGATATGCTACGCAAGGGTGAAGGTGCTGTACTTCCCGCAATGCCGAAGCTGTTGCAGAAGTAACTTTGGGTCAATATTCTTGTGTAAAAAAGTGAGGTTATGATTTTACAAAAAAATCATTACTCATAAACTATACTTTTCCACAAAGGGGGAAGGATAGAGGAGGGCTTCCTCTAAATCGTCCCCTTTCCCCACCTCACTCCCACCTCCATACGCAAGTACCGGATGTCTATAGTTTCACCCAATTGAAAGTTACATTTTGATTATCTTTTCTAGTATCTGACATCTTTTGATGACATTGTCTAATGCAGAGCATAATTGGTTAGGGGAATTACTGGGATGTATCTTTTGATGTAATATATCAAATATTGTAACTTACTTAAATGGACAAAACATTTATCAAATATTACATAAGAATAAAATGGTGGAAAATTTAAATCTACTCTGCATTTCTATTTACTAATTATGTTTAAACATAGTATTGGACAATCCAGATACTGCTATTTTATGAAAAATATAACTAATAGACTACTTTTCTCTCTCTTCTGATTATCCTAAGAAGCTGTGAAGTCCAGCATATAAAAAAATTGCAAAATAAATTTGTCAGTCTTAAGTGTTAATGTTGCACTAAGATTATAATGAGTACCTACCTTTTCATCATTATCTGATTCCTTATCTGATCCACCTGGTTCGGAGCCTGCACCCGACTCTCTTTTGCCAGTACCTGAACTTGTAGCATTCCGACCTTCACCAACAACATCCATCAGTGATGTTCGAGCTCTTGTTTTTTTCCATGAATAATAGTATTTCACTAATGAAGCAATTGACTTATCTGGTAACTAAAAACAGATAACATTTTAACAGAATTTTACAATTTATACAAACTAACAAAATAAGTGAAGAAACATACCATTTGCCTTATTCTGTGAAAGCTTTTACCATGGAACTGAAAAGCTTGTTCAAATAGCACTTTGTCTTCTACCGTCCATTCATCAGGAAAAGGTGTAAAGTTAGCTAAGTCCATTGATGCACGACTGAGGTCATGTTTATGCCAAAATAACATACCTAATGCTTGTTCACCATTGTAACCATATTTTTCTTTAGCAGTTGTAATGTACTCATCCACTAAAACAACATAATATATTATATGAAATATAGGGAATATATTGCAGACTTAACTACTTAATATTTAAATACTTACATTTAGTATCTGATATATCAGATGTAGGTGACCATACCAGTAAAGCTCTATCAGAAATTTGTTCAGGTCTTCGTTGCTCTACAGGTTCTAGTTCAGGACAAACTGCCTGATAATCGCGACCCACTCTTATCTTCTCAGCTGCAAACGGTACTACTGCTTGGTTTCGTATTATATGAGTGGATGATGAGAGCGCAGCATGTAGGCAGATGATGGAAAGCATAAAAAATAAAGCATGATAATATGAATTTACTAAATTTATGAATACGACTCGAATAGCAATTTAAACACAAAAGCTCTTTTCAAGGGTTGAGAACACAATGATAAAGAAATAAGTAATTCTAAAAACATATTGACCAAACTACACACATTTTTCATGCATGAAACTCAGCTAGAAACAAAATTTTCCAAGCACATTTTTAATATTGATGGTAAAGAACTTAAATTCCGCGTACCATTCTCATCCTCTGAACTAGAATCTGGGCTTCCATGGCCATTAGGGCTTGGCCCTCTGGATCGCTTCCCGTTTCGAACATCACTGCTTCTTTCAGCCAACACCATGATTAATCAAATTTCACAGTAGATTTCACAAATTTATCACAAATTGTGCTCAATTCACACGTTCATCTATAAAAGGTTATGATAAGAAAACAACAAAACGCAAATAAAAGCGAAGCTTCGCACTTCAATTCAAACGTGATTTAAACCACCGCATCAATAATATGACAAACCACCAAACCAGAGATAGGACGGAATGGATCATTCACGGGCGTCTGTATTTTAGGCATTCACTTTGACCTACGCGTGGACAATCTTTATTTACACTGAAGTTACACTTCAACATTTGGATATGGACTCAAAATGTATTAGTATATTAAATACGCATCCATTTTATTTCAAATGATTTATTTCCTTGAAAATAAAATAACATATATTTTTTTTACACATTTTTTCTATTAGGCAACATTACACTACGGTCTTTTAAAAATGAATCATGACACATAATTAAATGTTTATCTAATTTTAATTATTTTTAGGAAGACTGCAAAGCAATATATACAACATTTTTTTTTTAATGATTGTCACTAACATTATTATCCTAAGTGAAAAACACGTAATAAGTAGGAACAAAAATATAAATCATTTTATATAAAAATACATTTTAAAAATAACAGATGGCGTTGCAAGAAATGTATAAAAATCTCTATATTTTATGTTTTCATATAATATAAAAATTTAAACTAAATAATCACTAAACTCGGAAACGACTTTGGGGGTTTTCATTCGATTTTCAAAATAGACAGATTCACAAAGATGGTTTTGGTAGGTATGATACTTAAATATAATTTATGAACTGAAGATTATATTTGTCGATGAAGGTAGAAAAAATCGTGTGTCCTGACCCATGAGGCAAGATTTTTTTTCTTTTTTAGCTTTCATGGTGTGCGCTGCGTAAACCGATGATGCAAAGAGTAACTGTCCTGTATAGAAATATGTGTAAAATTAAAAATTTTATGCGTAATAATTAAATATTTTATGTAAGACTAGCTGTACCCCGCGACTTCGCCCGCGCGTTAGGGTATTTGTGTAGGCTTAGCTTTCCATTGACTCCCGTCGAGTTGGGGGTTAATACGTATTTTTACAGAAAAGTTACACTATTATAAGCACACACACAAAGTTAGAACATGCGGAAACGCGTAATTTTTGAGAAAAAAATTGTTGAAAGTCAATTATTCTTGCATTGTTTATATCTATTCCTACCATAAAACTGACGCCATTTTGTAATGTCATTGTCGTCAGTAGGGATGTCGATTCTTTCCGAAAAGGGTCGATTTTTAAATCGATTCAAATCGTAGGCTGATGTATCGATTCATAAAAAATCGATTTCTAAAATATCTATATTTTTTATATTTGCATTTATAATGTAAATATAATTCCATTTTATGAAAAACAAGAAAGATACCATAATAAATGATCTCTTATTGAATTTTGTTTTATTTTAACAGTACCAATTAGGGCAGATAACAAATAAAATAGGTTAGGTTCAACTTATGTCAAAGAACCGAATCGATTGACCCCGACTCCATCTGGTACGAGTCTGTCCTACCCCTAGAGTGGTTTTATAGAGCCAGAGGCGCGTAGGGGGAGCAGCCTCCGTCTGCTGTAACAAATCGTAGGGATGCCTGCGATTTATTACGCTAAGGCGTAGAGGCTGCTCTTCCCGCAGCGCCGGAGACGTAGCAGTCTCAAAATAGATACAGAAATCCTTCTGAATCAGTCCCCCTATATTTTATGATGAAGGGGATTTTTTTCTCATAAAATGGATTTATATTTACATTATAAATGCAAACATGAAAAAAATATAGATATTTAAGAAATCGATTTTTTGGGAATCGATACATCAGCTTACAATGCGAATCTATTTAAAAAATCGATCTTTTTCGGAAAGAATCGACATCCCTACTGACAATAACAATAATAAAATGGCGTCAGTTTTATTGTAGGATTAGACATAAAGAATGTAAGAATAATTGATTTTCAATAACTTTTTTCTCAAAAATTACGCGCTTCCGCATATTGTAACTCTGTGTGTGTGCTTATAATAGTGTAACTTTTCTGTAAAAATACGTATCAACCCCCAACTCGATGGGAGTCAATGGAAAGTCGTACCTTTGTGTTTTTGTGCTAATTATTTTTCTAAAATAAAAGTAGCCTAAGTTACTCCTTATGAAATCAGCTATCTACCAGTGAAAGTCCCGTCAAAATCGTTTCAACCGTGTCGGAGATTAGCCGGAACAAACAGACAGACAAAAATTTTAAAAATTGTATTTTAGTTATAACTACCGTATTTACTTTCTTATGCATTTAGTAAAAAACTGTAATTTTGACATTACAAACAGACACTTCAATTTTATTTATTTGTATAGATGTATACTACATGAAAGTCTCTAGTCTGTGTATATTCCTCTAGGTGACGGACTGAACTTCGTAGTTATTACATTTTATACATAATGCCCCTCGCTCACATTTGTAAACATGTTAGTACAGGCTTAAAATTAAACTCACTTCACTTTGTTTATATTTTTTATATATTTATTTAACGAAAAAATGACAGTTTCTGCTGTGAAATCGTGTAAAAATTACACTTCAAAACAAGAAAAGTGCCTTAACATGTTATTTAATAAGTAATTTCATTCATTTCATTTTGTATTTCTTTGTTACCCACTTTTAAATATGAAAACGAAAAATAATAATTTGTCATTAATGTGACGCCACAACTGTTGAGTGTTGCCAAGGGCATGAAATCTACTTACCCATATTTTAAGCTTTTTAAAATCTCTCGAAAAAGAAACGACGTAAGTTTTATTAAACATGAACGATCTTTGCTTTTGTGAGTGTTAGTTTGATTCTTCAACTCACAGCTCTCTAAGCACTGAACCGATTTCAATGCGGTTTTTATAGTTTGTCAGTATTTTTGAGACGTGACTCGTATTATAGTAGCATTAATGGTTAATTTGTCGGACACCTAAACCAGAAACATCCAATGTTCAGGCCACTTCCAATTTTGCATAGAAACTAATCTTTGAAAAAAATCAGCGTTGATATGAAAATAACGTACTGACATCGGATTTTAAGCCGTAAAAGCTATCGATTAGACTACTTCTGCTTACTACCCAATTAAGTAAGCCGAAAGACATTGTGTAGGTTTATGAAATATTTGTAAAATATACAAACATTTCATAAACTTACACAAGCACACCACACAGCGTTTGCACATGAAAAATTACATAAATGAAAGCAAATAACGTTAAAAATTAGCAACAGTAATGATGAAAATTATCCTTTACACTAAACTTGAAATATTTAAAAATTTAATAACTCTCATATTTTTGGGGTAATTCGGTGCTGCTGGTATTACATGCGTATTGCACACAAATGCAAATGCGATACGTAATATACTCGAGAGCGTGGCGTTCACTCACACACGTATAAAAATTGGCTTCACGATAAATGTTGCGTTTTGTATTGAACACGGAATCTGGACATTTTATATAATCTAAGTTTATCTGTTTCAGATTACATATTTTAGCTGAGTTTAGTTTTAATGCTGAGAATTTTGCTGATGTAAATATACCATAATGTTCTGTAAAGAATAACTCCCAATTAAAAAATGTAAATTTTCTCGAATAATATGCGTGGTAACATTATGGGTAAAACTATAAAAAACATATGTTCATTTTTAAAACAATAACTTTCAGAAAATAAAATAACATAATTACACCTATGTATAGATTTATTTTACCCCACATGCTGCTCTAAACTAAATTCGGGTAATTTTGGTGCAAACCTCAAATGTATAGAAATCCACCATATTTCCATTCATCTTTGAATAAGGACATGATATAGTTTCCGCGTTCTCTTGTAATAATGACTAAATAATGACTGAAAACGGGCTATAATCATTCTGTTAAGATAGAGAGAGAGAGAGAGAGAGATATTTTTCTGTGATTCTGGTAGCGTGTGTGGGTAGTTCTCATCAAAATGATATTTTTCGCAAAAAATTTACCAATTTTTTAAACCTTTATACAGGCTTAAAATATTATGCGTAGATAATTGTTTTAATGATAGTAAGCAGTTTTATCTAGGAGGCATTCAAAACTAGGCACTGGTTTTAGAAAAAAATGTCATTATTTGAAGTTTGCTGTTACCGAGAATGACAACTAGTGAGAATAATTGACGGCTCCGTGGCGCAGTGGCTTAGCAATCAGTTGTTGCGCTGGGGGCTGCGGGTTCGAATCCGGGTCTGGATGTTTGTCCTTGTGCAATTTATGTTTGTAAACTGTCTCCACGATATAGGAGAAAATCTTAGTGTATTAAAAAAAAGAGAAAAAAATAATAATGACATGAGTGCAAAGGAGAATGATGCTATGATACAAATAATGACAATTTCATTAAGAATAATGAGGCATATAATCAATAAATTTTATGACAATTTGTAATATTTTTATTTTTATGAAATTTTATGAAAATCACATCTTTGGACATTAAAAAATTATAGAGTATCTATTAGGAACTTGTAACAATCTACTTACTTTAAATCACATCCTTTGTTTTTAATCAAAATTAAAACTAACATTCGAAATCACAGAACTTATAAAATTCTTACAATAATTAACAAAGCGAAAATTATTATATTAAGAGACTTTTAAATCTCCTAAGTCTGTTGTAACTTCTTTGAATTCGACAGTAATACCTTTAGGCACAATTAAAAATCTCAATCAAAATTAACACACAAGTATTGATAAAAACAAACATAATCATGATTAAATAGAAATATAAGTCATTTAGTAAGTATTGTGAAATTCTACAAAATCAAGCAGTCTTGAAAACTCAAATTAAAATATGATAAAAATAGCCACAAAAAAAAACCGAACAGAAAGAAATTTTAATTATTTTGATGTTGATGGTTTGTTGATGTCGTCAAATTTTGTTTTCTCAAGAATGGTCACATTAGGATGTTTGGAGATGCGTCCTCCAAGTTTTTTAGGTACATTGATCTC